TTAAAAAAGACTAATAAAGAATATTGTTAGTCATGAAAAAAAAAAGTTATCTTCTTTATGAAATGATTCCTGCTTGTTTATCCAGCCTTCTCTCTCTCTACTCCTCTATATACACGATAGGCTTTAGCCATTCTGCACTACATGTAGGTCCACAAATATTCTTTGTCTTTATGTGCATAGATGTTTTCGCGCAATGCTCTTCCCTTGATTAAAATGCTCTTTTTCCCTTGTCTCCATGGAAAATGCTTGCACATCCCTCAAGATCCATCTCTAGCATTATATTCTTTATGAAACCTGACAACATCCACCCACTTGTATCTAGTAAAGTCGATTACTTCCTCCTCTGTGATGTAACTGTAATTTGTACATATCTCTAGTGTAGCGCTTCTGACAGAGTAGTGTAGTCATTTATTACTATTCTCTCTTTCCTAAGAAACTATTAGCTCTTATTCATCTTTATACCTCTAGTGCAATATGTGGAACACAGTAAATACTCATTAGATGTTTAAATGTTAAATGAAAGATCATTTTCTACAGATGTGAAATGTTTCTGATATCTCTAACTTTTAAAAAATATCTTTATTAGAGCACATCTTACTTTGCATATGTTACCTGTTTTACATTTTTATTAACATATATTCCTTGTATATTTCCATATATGTTTACAGTGTACCTTGGTTAGAGTCATCCCCTCCATCATTCTCCCTCACCCCCCTCTCCTGTACTTAAAATAATTTCAAGTTTCATTGCTCTATTTTCACACAAGTATGTAAAATACATCGACCATGCTTATCTTCACCCTCTTCATTTACCTTCCCCCTCCCACTAGTGCCCACTCCCCAACAGGACCTGTTTTTCATTCCAGTTTTTCATTTTTCAAATGTATATTCCTTGTTCAAAGGGGTTTCACCATAGTATTTCACCCATAAATATATTGTACTTTAATCAGATTAACCCTCTCTGTACTCTCCTTTACCCTCCCCTCTACCCTTTTCTTTTGGCAGCACTAGGGTTTGAACTCAGGGCTTCACGCTTGCAAGGCAGGCACTCTTACTGCTTGAGCCACTCTGCCAAGCTTTTTTTGTGATGGATTTTTTTTGAGATAGCATCTCACAAACTATTTGCCCAGGGCTGGCTTTGAATCAAGATCCTCCTGATCTCTGCCTCCTGAGTAGCTAGAATTACAGGTATGAGCCACTGGTACCCACCCTCCCCCTCCCCTTTTTAGAAATACACAATTCCATAGTATCGAAAATAAATTTACTATGTTGTACAACCATCATAAATCAGCTTTAGAACATTTTTAACTCCCCAATAAGGTTTGGTACGTTGATTAACAATTGGTGAGCCAGTATTAATACTTCACTATTAACTAAAGTCCACAGTTTACAAAGGGCTCATTCTTTGTGCTATGAATGAGTTTTATCAAATTCATACTTTACAGTATCATACAGAAGCTGGGAGCCAGTGGCTCATGCCTGTAATCTTAGCTACTCAGAAGGTAGAGATCAGGAGTATAGCGGTTTGAAGCCAGTCCCGGGCAAGTAGTTCACCAGACCCTATTTTGAAAAAAAAAATCATAAAAATGGGCTGGTAGAGTGGCTCAAGCAGTAAGAGCACCTACCTAGGAAGCAGGGGCCACCAAAAAAATGTATCATTCAGAATAGTTTCATTGCCCTAAAAGTTCCCCGTGTTCTACCTGTTAATTCTTCCCTCCAATCCCTGGAAGCCACTTGTCTTTTTATTGTCTCTATAATTTTGCCTTTCCTAGAATGTTATATAATTAAAATTATGTCATATGTAGACTTTTCAAACTGACTTCTTTTACTTAGCATTATGCATTTCAGGTTCCTCCATGTCTATTCTCTCTTTGATGTGATAACCCATTTCTTTTTATTGCTGGAAATAATTCCATTTCTAGATGTAGAACAGTATTTATCCACCCAATAAAGAGTACTTTGATTGCCCCAATTTGGGCAGTTAATGACTAAAGCTGCCGTAAACATTCATGTGCAGGTTTTTCTGTGGACATGAGTAATCAGTTCATTTGAGGACATACCTAGGAACACAATTACTGAATCATAAGACTATGTTGGCTTTGTAAGAAACTGCCAAACAATCTTCCAAAGTGGTTGCACCAGAAGTTAATAAGGGCACTTGGTATGTCAGTGTTTTATTTTAGCCACTTTAATAGATGCATAATGTTGTTTTAATTTGCAGCTACCTAATGGTAAATTATGTTGGACAACTTTTGTATGGTTATTTGCCATTTATATCTTTTTTAAAAATTTTTTTGATGCTGGTGATTGAGCCCTGGCCCTTGCACATATTAGGCACAAATGCTCTACCACTGAACTACATCCTCACCCCTGGTATTTATTTATATCTTCTTTGATTAGGCATCTGTTTAGATCTTTTACCTACCTTTTATTGGATCCAATTTTTTCCCATCTGGTCCTTTCTCAATCCCTTTATTTCAAAGCCAAAACAGTTCCTTTACAAATTGTGTAAGCTTCTTATGAAATAGTTTATCAATCCTTTCCATTAAACAAAAGCCATATTCCTAGTCTCTTATTACCTTGGGCTCCTGGACAAGCTGCCCTTAATATTCTTTAGAAGCTCTGTTACTTAACAGAAAGAGTTTCCAACATATGCTCAGAAGCTCTTTGTTTCAAAGGGTCTAGGATGCACCACCTTAAATCTTTCTGAGATCTTACCTAAAGGCTTTGTAGTCATGCCCTTGCTTTAACTCCCTTCCACACAGTGACCCTGGCTTTGATCTTTGCCTATAAGTCATTTCTTATTTTGAGAATTATTTGTCATGTAGAGAAACTAGGAGTGAAAAAGTATCCAAACTCAGCAAATTTGGACTCGTTTATATTCAATGAGTTAGGTTCCCTTATTGACAGAGTCAGAATTTGAACCCAGGACTATATGGCCTCAAAACTTGTACTCTTGCAGAGAGGTCCTGTTGTTTCTGGATGATGGAGGAAGCTGTGATTTCATTAAGTCCCAAATGAAAGATGGAATTTAAGGCAGTAGGAGAATGAAGGACATGCTAGGCAGGGAGATGCCACTTGGACAAAGATAGAGAAATGAAGGACATTTGAGGACAGCAAGACAACCCAGTGAGCGGTACATTTCTACCCCTTTTCTCCTGGCTTTGTTATTCAGACATTCAGTTCTTGGTTTTCATTTTCTGTTGACCATTTTTCATGTCCCTTTCATAGCATAACTTCTACAATTTACTCTTTAGTCAGTTGGCTCACATGGATTCTACTTTTCCTCAGAATGCCCTTTCGTCATCCTGCCTACCAGCACAGTAACTTACCCGTCAAGGTACAAGTTGAATGTCACCTCCTCTGTGAAACCTTCCTTTTTTTAATATCACCCCAAGCTTCCTTATTGGTTAGGATATGCTGTTATAAATAAAAACAACCCCCCAAATCTCAGTGTCTTAACACAAGAGTTTATTTCTCTCTCAGGGCACAACTGAATGAAAGTTGGCTAGGATGAGGCAGATTCCTTCCACCTAATGGCTCCACCTTCCTCTAGGATGGAGTTTAGCAACCTAGGAGCTGTTTTTTTTTTTAAATAAAGTTTTATCTAGACACAGCCATGCCATTCAGTTACATTTTATCAGTAGCTGCTTTAGAGTGCAAAATCATTGTAATAACATAGCCTACAAGTTGACTAGAGACTGTGTGACCCAGAAAACTTAACATATATGCCCTCTTTACTGATCATTGTTCTCGGGCTCTATGGACTTGTGAATAGAGAGTATCTGGGTCCTTTATTTTTTAAGCATCATTTTCTTCAATTCTTTGAATACATTTGTGTATTTATATTCTTTGTTTATGAAATCCAACAACTGTTCACCCTCAGGGATATTTTTTTCTTGGCTTTTTTTTTAAGTTCTTATTTTTAAGACTTCCTTCTTGGGATCACCTTCTGAATCAATATAATTTAGTCACTTAATTATGTGTCAGATTTCCTTAAATGCTTTAAGTCTTTAAGTCTTCCACCTTTTTTTCCAAGGAAATCTTTGTGTGAAGGAATAACTCAAACTTCAGGCAGTTTACAAATCAGCGATAGTTTTATTTCCTGCTTTCAAAAACAGCCAACGTTGAATAACTGAGGCCTCTTCTGTCCCGTTTTTTTCCTTGGGCTTCCCACAGTACTGCACATGTGATATATTGGAACCTTTCAAAGTTCCATATGGTCATCTGGTTCTCCATAACTTCCTTATAAGTTTTTAGCCAGGCCTTTTTTTTCCCTAAAATGAGTTCACAGCCTTAGGCTTATTTCCACTGAACGAGCTGTGAATCAAATCAAATGATAAGACCTTAGAAGTAGAGATTTTCCAGAAGCTTCCAGTTTGGTCAAAATACTGACTGGACCGTGGAGATGGAATTTTTAATGAAGCTTCAAAAGATCACTGACTGTCATACTGCTGGCTTTCATGGCTACCACACGTCTGTGTTTGGGAGGAAGGAAGGATGGAAATATTTTAAAGGTAAAATCCAGATGCTGCTATTTTACCAAGTTCATCAGTTTTTCTGTGAGTGTGTGTGTGTGTGTGCGTGTGTGTGTGTGTGTGTGTGTGTACTGGAGATCAAACCCAGGACCTCATGCATGCAAGACAAGCACTCCAGCCCTCATTACTTTTTCTTGAATAGGTGCTATTCAGTTTATTCTATACTTTTGATTAATTGCTAACAGTCTAAAATGGTTTATTTTAAATGTTTGCCAGTATTCTGTTGCTTTTGCAGGGAGTGTACTCACTGAGTTTCTGAGTTTACTGTTCCAGAGGTCAGTGTGTTGACATTTCTAATTTTGATAGGAAAACAATGTCTCCCTGAGACATTTCCTTAATATTTAATATATGAATATAGATTATGGTTTATAAATGACAGATACAACATTAACAATATTTTTCTTACAGAAACTTTAAAGCATGCATCTGAAACAATTACATTCCAACAATTACACTTTTTCAGGTTGCTGTTGGTTCTGACTCTACAGAGCCATCTCATGATTTCGAAGTGCCATCTTCAACATGTCAGAAAGAATGCAATAAAACTGTGAATACCGAAGCCTTAATGACAGTGTTTCACCCTCAGAATTTGGAGACTCTTAATTCTAAAATGGTAGGAAAACAAAATATTTAAATCTATAAACTGGAACAATTGTTGAGAAACAATTTTGGAGCAGACTATAAAGTACCAGCACTGAAAACTTTTCTCTGAGATTTGAGAAGGTTTTCCAGCACATACTACTATATACCTTGTTTGGCTCCACAACACACAAGAACTGTTATCAAGAATGAAAAATAAGAGAATGTTAGATTTTATTTGCAAAGATTTCTAATCAGTGCTGAAGTGAAGTCAATTTGGTTCAGTGCTTTACCTCCTAAGTGCAATGTTTTTGGCAGTGTTAGAGTTTAAGAATTAAAATAGTAAATTACAGCTATTATGCTTACATGGGTTTAAAAGACTTTGGTGATGACAAGGGTCCAGTGTTTAACTCCTGTGAGAATACTGATTTGACTTTCTAGGTTTTTGTTCTCCAAAGGTACTGTTTCATGTGAAGAGGGTGGGCAACTTATATTGAAGATGTTCTTTGCTCACTGTTTAGTTGCCTTGATTTTTCTGTTACAGTTGAAAGAGAAGATGAAGGAACAGTCATGGAACATCTTATTTTCAGAATGTGGTCGTGGTGTTAGCATGTTTCGGACCAAAAAGACTCGAGATCTGGTTGTAAGAGGGATTCCAGAGACCTTAAAAGGAGAGCTCTGGATGCTTTTTTCAGGTATTACACTTTTTCACTTTATTAATGTAATAGACATTAACTATGCCCCTTCTAGAAATTAGGCACTAAGCTAAAGTTAAAGAATTACAAAGATGACTGGGACACAAGTTCAGACTACTCAAAGAAAGATGTATGTGCACTTACCTATATATCTACACATCCATTGACTGGGAATAATTTATTAGGCAAGATATGTGTAATGAGGGGTGGATCTCTAGCTGTAATGTCAAAGGAAAGTAAAAGGAGGTGGGCTTGGTGGCTCATGCCTATCTTCCTAGCTACTTCAGAGGCAGAGATTGGGAGGATTTCAGTTTGAGACAAGCCCCGGCAAAAAGTTAGTGACACCGCATCTCAACCAATGGTGGCATGCCTGTGATCCTAGATATGTGGGAGGCATAAATAACTGGATCTCCAGCAGAGGCTAGCCCCAGGCAAAAAATGTAAGACCCTGTTGGAAAAAATAACTAAAGCAAAAAAAGGACTGGGGGCATGGCTCAAATGTTAGAGCACCTGCTTAAAAAGCACAAGGACCTGAGTTCAAACCCCAGTACTACCAAAAATACAAAAGAATGTTAAAAGGAAAAAAAATCTCATGAAAATATTATTCTGATGGATAATATTAACTTAATGTTATAGATTTCTAGTATAATACTTTTTCTTTTCCTTCATTTTTTTTGTGCTTAGATATCATTAAATTTCAAGGTAATGAAATCCAGTTCTTAATGTATATACAAATATGCTACTGTATGCAAATCCTTGCTTTATTATATTCTTTTTGTATATGAATACAATGATCTTCACAGGTGCCGTTAATGACATGGCTACAAATCCTGGCTATTATGCTGAAGTAGTTGAACAGTCTCTAGGGACCTGCAACTTGGCTACTGAAGAAATTGAACGTGATTTGCGTCGCTCCCTGCCTGAGCACCCAGCGTTTCAGAGTGACACTGGCATATCTGCTCTGAGGCGGGTACTCACTGCTTATGCATATAGGAATCCCAAAATAGGATACTGCCAGGTATGACTTCTCTGTTAGCCCACATTATGTGCATAATAACATCATATCAAATCCAACTCTACTAACTTGAGAATTATGATAATCAGGACAGAGGTTGGGCTGAAATTGATTGTGGATTTTATTAATGTAAGTCAATGGTAGTGGGTATACTTAGAATTGATATTTTATTAGTTTATTTTTCTTTTTTGTTTAACAAATATTTATTGAATTCCTGTTCTGTAAAAGATGCTGTGCCACATACTTAAGGCTATATAAAGGTGTATGAGATAAGGATCTTACTACGAAAATAGACCAGTAGGTGTTAATATATAGGCCAGTTTCATTGGGAAACTGAAAAAGAAGTGAGACAAACTATTAGATGAATATAATGTTGTCAGGATTTATATTAAAACATTATTTTCACCTGAGAGAATTAGAGAAATCTTCATGGAAGAGGAAGCACTTGCAAGTCGAAATTTGGTGAGTTTTGGATGTGTAGAAATGGGATGAAAGAACATTCTAGGTAAAATATTAATGCAACCCAACACAGGTAGAAGTGAGGCATGTGTATAGAGCCATGTTCTGTGTTGTAAAGTACAGGGTGAATGAAGCAGAGTAGTTGGAGGAAAAGTAAGGTAGATTGTGTCACTTTGGAAATTTGGATTTTATTTTGTAGGCAGTGAAGGAATCAGTGGGAAAAAATCCTTTAGGAGGGCACTGTATTAGACAGGCTAGACTGCCAACACTAACACAGGTTGTAACTGAAACACAACAGATTATTTCTTAAAGGAATAAAAAGATGAAAGCGAGCATTTAGGTCAGTACTCTTCTATGACTAATCAGGGACTTAGGCTATGGATTGAAAGTTGACTCTATTATCTTCAAAACAAGGCTTCCAAGCTACTCTTTCATCACCATTACTACATACAGGAAGGGGTAGAGAAGATGGAGCAACAGTCATGGGAGATTTTACAAGCTAGACCTAGAAGCAGATACATATCTCTTCACCCACATTCTGTTGAAAGATCTTCATCACACGAGCACATCTATTCACAAGGAAATCTGTGAAATGTAGTGTGGGCTGAGGCGACATGCCCAGCTACTGTGGAAGAAGGAGAGGTTGGATTATGGTGAATAGGTAGCACTCTCTGCCATACATTACTTTCTATTAGGTTGAATACCCATAAGGATTATTAAGTTCTCTCCATCAAAACTTCCCAGTATTTTTTGATAAACAGTTTAAGTGAATGAACCATCTAAATAGCAAGTATTCTTTAGCATATTTTAAGATCTCTGAAAGGTACCAAAGATACATAATACATCTTTTCTCAAAAAACTTGCATCCACAGAGCCTATGAGACTCTATATGATGCAGTAGTTTAGACATAGTTTTAAAGTAGGCAGCATTTGGTTTTGGCTTCTAAAAGGTTAGAGCAAATTTAGAGACATGGAGAGGAGGAAGTTATTTTGTGTCAAGGTTACAATATGAGCAATACCATTCGGATGAGAAAAAGTCTTCCACGGAGATCAGACCAGCTAAGCTCTTGTAATCAAGAAGTAAATAAGTTTATGTAGGACAATATCATGGAGAATCTTTAAAGCCTGAGCAGAGTTTGAATTTAATGTGGTAAAGAAGTTTTATTATTCTTGATCAAAATTCCATGTGAGCCGTACAGACACATTATGGCTAGCCTGCTTGCTTATCTATTTTCCTTCTTTTCTTCCTTCCTTCCTTCCTTCCTTCCTTCCTTCCTTCCTTCCTTCCTTCCTTCCTTCCTTCCTTCCCTCCCTCCCTTCCTTCCTTCCTTTCTTCTTTCCTTCCTTCCTTCCTTCTTTCCTGTACAGCTACACCTTTTAGTGTTTTGTTTTTGAGACAGAGCCTCATTAAGTATGATAGACTGACCTGGAACTCTGTGTAGCCCAGGCCAGCCTTAAACTTGGAATCCTTCTGCCTCCCCAGTGCTGGGATTACAGTTGTGCACCACCATGCCTGGCCCTGTCAGTGTTTTTTAGTATATTTACAAGGTCATGCAACCATCACCACTGTCAAATTGAAGACATTTTCATCCCCCCAAAAGAAGTACCATACTCATTAGCAATTACTCCCCATTTCTCCCTCTCCCCAACCCAAGCAATCACTAATCTACTTTCTATCTCCTATTTATAGACATTTTATCTAGATGAAATGATAGAATTTCTGGTCTTTTGTCCCTGTCTTCTTTGGCTTAGCATATTGGTTTCAGTACTTCATTTATTGTTATGACTGAATAATATTCCATTGTATGGCTGTACCACATTTTGTTTATCTGTTGAATAGTTGATGAACATTTGAATTGCTTTCATGTTTTGACTGTAAAGAATAAGGCACCTATGAATATTCATGTATAAGTTTTTGTGTGGGCCTTGTTTTCAATTCTTCTGAGTATATACTTTCAAGTGAAATTGCTAAGTAATATAGTAACTCTATGTCTAACTTGTTCGGGAACTGCCAAACAGTTTTCCAAAGAGATTTCACCATTTCACATTTCCACCAGCAATATACAGGGATTGCAGTTTCTCCATATCCTCAACAATACTTTTTTTTGTTTTTGCAATACTGGAGTTTGAACTCAGGGCCTCACCCTTGCTAAGCAGGCACTCTACCACTTAAGCCACTCCACCAGCCCCTTTTTTACTTAGGTATTTTTCAAGATAGTCTCTTGAACTGTTTTCCCGGGGCTGACTTCAAACTATGATCCTCCTGATCTCTGCCTCCTGAATAGCTAGTGACTCCTGGCAACATTTCTTATTATCTCTCTTTTTGATTGCAACCATCCCAGTGAGTGCAAAGTGGTACCTTAGAACCCTTGTTGAAAAATCAATTAACCAATCTCAATTCTATGAGTTCTGAAGTCTTAAAGAGGTGTGAGTCCTTTAACTTTGTTCTTTTCCAAGATTATTTTGGCTCTTTAAGATTCGTTGCATTTCTATATGAATTTTAGGATCAGTCTGTCAGATTTCTTTCCCCAAAAAGCCAGCTTGGATTTTTGATAATTGTTGCATTATTATAGATCAATTTGGGGATTATTACATATTAACAATATTAAATCTTATAAACTATAAACACAGGATGTCTTTCCATTTATTCAGCTTTTTAAATTTCTTTCAAGGACATTTGATAGTTTGCAGTGTGCAAGTCTTACACTTCCTTTGTTAACTTTATTTCTAAATATTGTGATCTTTTTGATAGTATAGTAGATTTGTTTTCCTGTTTTCACTTTAATTATTTGTTGCCAGTATACAGAAATACAATTTATTATTGTATGTATTAATCTTATATTCTTTAACCTTGCTAAGCTTATTTATTAATTCTAGGAGATGTTTTGTGGAGTCCTTAGGAATTTCTGTACAAAATCATGATTTCTGATACAAAATCATGGAATCTGAATCATGATACTTTTTCCATCCCTATCTGGATGTACTTTTCTCTCTTTTTTTTTTCTGGCTAATTGATCTGATTAGAATTTCCATTACAACGTTAAATATAAGTGTTGATGTTTCTGTTTTTTTGTTTTATGAGCCTCACTACGTTGCCTACGTTAGTCTCAAATTCATGGGCTCAAGTGATCCTCCCACCCTAGCTTCCAGAGTAGGAGGGACTACATGAATATACCATCATACCTGGATTAATAGAAGTATTGAGAATGTACATTTCTGCCTTGGTATTTGTCTTACAAGGAAACATTCAGTCTTTTGTCATAAAGTATAATGTTAGCTGTGGAGTTTTTATAGATTATCAAATTAAGAAAGTTCTCTTGTATTCTTGTTGAGTTTTTATCATGAAAGAATATTAGATTTTGTCTAATGATTTTGTGTCCATTGACACGTCATGTGATTTTTTTTCCCCTTTATTTTATTAGAATGGCATATTTCATTAATTGATGTTCATATGTTGAACCCCTTTTGCATTCCCAGGATAAATCTATTTAGTTTTAGGGTGTAATTTTTTTATATGTTATTGGATTTTGGCTTTCGAGTATTTTCTTGAGGATTATATATTATAAAATATATTGATATGTAGTTGTTTTGTGATGTCTGTGTAATTCTGGTATTGGGATTTCTTAGAATGAATTGGCTAGTATTTCCTACTCTTATTTTTTTCAAGAGTTTATGAAAGACTGGTGTTAATTCTTCTTCGAATGTTTAGTAGAATGTGCCAGTTAAAGCCATCTGTTCTTAGAGTTTTCTTTGTGGGAAGTGTTTTCATTACTAATTCAATCTCTTTACTTATTATAGATCTATACGGATGTTTCTTTCTTCTTGAGTTAGTTAGTCTCAGTAGTTTATTTCTTTAGAAATAAGTCCATTTTACATAGGTTATTAATTTGTTAGCATACAACTGTCATCATACCTTTCTGTTTCCTGAAAGTTAATAGTAGTAGTCTCTTCTTCCAGATTGTAACAATTTGAGTTGCCCCCTCTTGTTTATTTATTTTTTATATTTTTGGTTAGGCTACCTAAACATGTTCAATGGTTTTTAAAGATTTTTTTAATGGGACTAGGGTTTGAACTCAGGTCTTCACGCTTGCAAAGCAGGCACTCTGCTGCTTGAGCCATACCTCTAGTCTCAAAGATTTTTATCTCTTTAAAAAATCTTTTCAGTAAACCTAACTTTTTGTTTGTTGGTTTGTCTCTATTTTCTTTGGTCTATCAGTTTCTGCTTGCTCAGAGCCTCAAGATTAGCAGAGGTGAGAGCTTAGACCTTTCCTGTTCTTTCCTAAGTACACATACAGCTATGAGTATGCATATGCTCTATGGCCTTCTAGATTCCCAGGACTATGTCAGAGTTTATCAAAGCCCCCAGATTTCCTTTTAGCCCTTTATTAGACTATTGTTTGTGCCTCAGAACATATTCAACAGATGCCTGTGATTATTTCAACAAGCATACCTGGGAGAAAGGCTTTTTTATACTAGATGAGCTCTGTATCAGATTAAATAGAGATAGCCTTGTGAGGGCAGTCTTCCAGGGATTCATCAGATGGATTAAGTAACAACAGTTCTCTAGGAGTGGGACTCTGAATGAGCTCTGGCCTCATCTATGGCCTCCAGAAAGTTGAGTGGTAATGGAAATGGAGACAAAAGAGCACATCTAAAACACATTTTATAAGTAGGATCGCTAGGCCATGAAACAAAATTGGATATAGCAGATACTGATTCTTCAATGCTCAAAATTAGGATAACTAAAAAGTGAATCCAATTTATAGGAGAAAGATGTTTAGTTTTAAAAATAACAAAGACTGATCCAGGTGTGGTGGCTTATGCTTATAATCTAGCTACTTGTGATATGGAAATCAGGGAGGATCGCAGTTTGAGACCAGCCCGGGCAAAAAGTCTGGGAGACCCCCATGTCAACCAATAAAAAACTGCACAGCTGTAATCCCAGCTACATGGCAAGCATAAATAGGATCCTAGTCTAGACCAACCCAGGCATAAAAACAAGACCCTATTTGAAAAATAACTAAAGCAAAAAGGGCTGGGGGCTTTGCAAGGGCAAGGCTGTAAGTTCAAACCCCAGTACTGCCAAAAAAATAAAAAAGAACAAGAAAAAAAGAAAAACAGTGAAGGGCAATGACATCTAAGAGGTATTCTCCAGTATGTAGTTACAGATGAATTGTTTTCTCCAGTTTTAGCATTTCCTTGAAAATTATGTTTTTTCAGATTTGTGATAATTAAGATTTTTTTACCTACTGAAATTAGCCTAAATTAGGTTTTACTAACTTAGGTTTTACTTATTTTGTTCTGTACTCATATCACTGCTTTTGTTTTTTGAATATAATTGTATAAAATAACTAATTATCAAATGTTAGCCTGATTTCACTTTGTTTTCCTTTTTACTAGCTCAGTGGTCTTATGCTTTCACTTGTTCTTGTTACTGTTGAAAACTACTGTTTGAAGAAGAAAAGCAGTTATTATTTAAGTAATATTTACCTTTTTGTATCTTTTCTGTGAAATTTAGGCAATGAACATTTTGACTTCAGTGTTGCTTCTGTATGCAAAAGAAGAAGAAGCTTTTTGGCTTCTGGTTGCTGTATGTGAACGAATGCTGCCTGATTACTTTAATCGTCGAATCATTGGTAAAACAAATCACCTGTGTATAAATGTACACACATACACTCTTAGTCTGTTTTCTGTTGCTGTCACCAAATGACACAGACTGGGTAACTTATAAAGAATAGAGGTTTATTTACCTCATGGTTGCAGAGGTTGGGTAGTACACAAGCACAGTGCCAGAATCTACTCCACATCTAATCAAGTTCTTCAACTTGATGAAGGATGTAACATAGCCAGACAAAACAAGAATGCTAGAGGGAGATTGCTTTTATAACAATCCAACTCCCTTGATAACCTATTACTAATTCATGAATGAATTCATCCATTCATTAGGGCAGAGCCCTCATGATCCAATCAACTCCCAAAGGTCTCACCTCCAAATGCTATTAATATATGAATTTGGGGGTTAAGTTTCCAACTAATGAAATTTGGGGTACCCATTCAAACCATAGCAGACACATATTTCTTTCTAAACAACTTTAGTGTCTGTTGTTTGTTTATTTTTTGAGACAGTACCTTACTATGTAGCCCAGGCTGACCTAGAACTGGGTCCTCCTGCCTCAGCCTCCCAAGTGCTGAGGTTACAGGCATGTGCCATCATGCCCAGCTTCTTGTCTATTCAGTTACCAGTCAAATAGAAGAACTGATAAATTAGGTTGAAAAATACACAAAACGCAAGCAATATCAAAATGTCAGATTCACTGACACTGTCAGGAGAAGAGCCTCTTGTACTGAATGTATAATCTGAAAGATTGTTTAATATGTTACTTTTTTAAAGAAAGTACCCCATTTGTTGTATAATAAAATAGAAACTTTGAGTGTATAATCACTATATTGCTAAGCAATATTGACCTAAAACATCCAGAGTTAGTGAGAAAGTTTTTAGTTTCTTGATGAGAAGGGGATTTTAATCAGCTTAAGACCTCCACATCTATATGCATTATTCATATTTTTGCATGGTTGGAAAGAAGGATCAAGTTCTTTGTTAATTGTATGATATTTTCTTCAGCCATCAAATATATATAGAGCTGTGATCCCTGTCTTAAAAGTTATGGATCATGTGTCCTTTGTACCCTCATAAGCTTTCAGGGTTGCTGCTAGGTCATCAATTGTATTATCTTTTGTTATAGCTATTTGTTCATTTATCTTTAGTTCCACTAGATAAGGGTTGAGGATGTAGTTCAGTGGTAAAGCATTTGCCTAGCATGCACAAGACTTTGAATTCCATCCCTGGCACCACACAAATAAAAATATTATTCTCTTAGAAGATGAGGCCATTTCATTAAGTATCTAATACAGCTCTCTGCCAATAATAAGGACTCAATTTATTAACTCTTCAAATGAATTTAAATTACATTTCTCAAGTTCTTTTAAGTTCATGATACTCTACTAGCAGATGCTGAGCTGTATAGAATATAGAAAAGGCACTGAAGGAGTTCAAAATTTAAGGAAAAAAGATGAGATCTATCAGCAAGCTAATATTAAGTGGAGAGGTATTGGAAACAAATCCTTTTGAAGATGTTCATTGTTAAATTTGTTTTGATATTCTCCAGGTGCCTTAGTGGATCAGGCAGTGTTTGAAGAACTTATCAGGGATCACCTTCCTCAGCTGACAGAACACATGACCGATATGACATTCTTTTCCTCAGTTTCTCTCTCATGGTTCCTTACACTTTTTATTAGTGTGCTGCCTATTGAAAGTGCAGTGAATGTGGTGGACTGTTTCTTCTATGATGGGATAAAGGCCATTTTACAACTGGGATTGGCAATACTTGACTATAATTTAGATAAACTTCTGGCATGTAAAGATGATGCTGAAGCTGTGACAGCTTTAAACAGGTATGGTAAGAACTATGACATTTAAATCTGGTGGGGATCTGAGAGACTGTGTGTGTTGTTTAATTCTCAGAGCTTACTGGTAAGGAAACTGAGCCATAGAAACTTTAATTTGCCCAAAGTCACAGAGCTTGTTAAATGAGCCAGTCCTAAAGTCTTGTCTTTTGTCTTCAAATAGAATGTAACAAAAGTAAATTGCTTTGAAGTGAACAATTAGGTTATTTACACATTTTCAGTATGCTGTGACTTTCATACTCCCAATTTAAGCTGTACAGTGTCTCTGTATAGAGGTAATTTGAGAAGGAAAGGACTAGTCCTTTAATAATGATAGTGTTAAATACCCACTGGGGAAAATTATCATGATTTCCAAGTAATTTCAGTCATGTGGGTTGAAATTTATTTTCCTAATGGCTTTTGTTGAATGTTATTTTGTATTGGAGCACATGTGGTTTTCTTGGGTGTATAAATGTACATGTACATGTGTTTGTAGATGTTAAATGAATGGATTTAGAATTGGCAACTGTTGTAATACTGTGTGAAATTTCATTCTGTGCAGAATAATATACAGATGCCTCACTCTACCATTCAGAACTCTGTGGAAAGGCCTTAATATACCTTGCTTCATTTATTTACACTTGGATGCCTCTAAATACTCCATATTGTACTTCAACTGGGTTATGTAGTATTTGCTGAGTACACACTGAGCCTATTTGATTCTTCATGCTCTCCTTCCCCAACCCAAAGTGATTTCATCTCTGTCCTATTCCTCCCACCCATGTCTTCTAATTCCCAACCATTGAAATTAACCTCTGACTAACTACAAAGAAATTAGCTGTCATGTTCTCTACTTCTACAATTATCATTGTATTAATTCTTATATTACTATCACTTTTGGATAGGTTCTTTGACAATGTCATTAATAAGGATAGTCCATTGCCTTCAAGTGTTCAGCAGGGTTCAAATATGAGTGATGGAAAAAGCAATCATATTAGAGTGGATATTACAGATTTGATTAGAGAGTCCAATGAGGTAAGTTTTTATACCATAAATATAATTACATAGCATATTTTAAGTGATTGATACTGTAGTTATATCTCTAGTGGTATATTAAGACTAAGATAATAATACAAGATATAATTTAAACTCCATCTTCACTTTAAAATGAGTTTTGTGAATTGGTCCTAAGTCATATAACCTCTGCCTCAATTTGCTTTTCATTAAATGAAACTAAATTTGTTTGCTTTCACAAATCATGACCATGTGTAAACATGTACCACTGTAAAAAACAAAGTTGAAAATGATTCTGTTCTTAGAGGCTAAGAATTTTACCAATGTTCTTATACTTAGTCTAGACACATAGTAGATGGAATTTTCTCCACGTGTGTGTGGATACATACATACATACATACATACATATATATATATATATATATATACACACAAACTGAAATGTAGGAGGAAAAAAAGTGCAAAATCACTAAACAAGTCAGGAAAATAGCTAGAAATAGAACCAAGGCCTCTGAGAATTAAGTCTGATGAAATTCAGTTGTAAGAAAAGTAGATATTTATTATGAATGAGTACCAAAATCATTTCTTGCAGAAATACGGTAATATTCGTTATGAAGATATACATACCATGCGCTGTCGAAATAGATTATATGTGATACAAACCCTAGAGGAAACAACAAAACAAAATGTGGTGAGTATCCACCCAATGGGAGAAAACTAGTTGATTAACTTCTGTTTAACTTCCTTTAGAAAGTATCATTCCATATAGGCTGGAGGTGACACTCAATTGGGAAAGCACCTGCCTAGCAAGCGTGAAGCCCTGAGTTCACATCCCAGTACTGCCAAAAAATTATCATTCCATATGAATAAAATGAAAAGAACTAAACTTTGGAGCTAGATTCTTGTAAGATTTTGCTTGCTGTAATTTTTTTAGAGGAAATATTTTCTTCTGGCTGAATTATGTTGCTTACTCCAACATGTTTTATATTATTTGACCTTCAACACCACTGCAGCATAATACCGACTGCTATGATACAGGCATTTAAACATAACACATTTATGATGTGCTGCTTCAATAAGAAGAGCTGATCAGCATAATAGTGCTGCTAATAAGTATTTTCCTTGGATACCTAAGATAAAGTGAAAAGCCTATAAAATGATTTAAATACTCATTTAGATGGGTCCATATAAAGCTGATAATATTGATTTCCTTTGATCAATCAGATGAATAGATGACTGGTCAAAGGGAGGAGAATTTTACCCTGCTGTTTATATTCTTCTGTGTCTTTGATCTTTTATCATGAGCATTTGTTTTGTAAACCTGCTTGCTTAAACACCAGGTCCTCAGAAATACAATCTAGGAAGATTAACATTTCTGGAGATTCCAGGTTTAGATTTCAATTAAATAATTCAGTGTTGTTACTGTGACGTAGTTAATATAGAGCCCTCTTGTTTTAGTTTTTACATGTGTTTTAAATGTAGTGAAGTTTTACATGTTTTATTGTAAATAATTTAAGTATTACAGAAATATAAAAAGTAAAGGTTTCCTAGCCCAGGAGTAAACATCTTAAAAATGATTTGGTATGTATCCTTCCAGATCCTTTTTCTTTGTACTAACACACTTAAATGAGTACATTGTTGGGGAGTGAGCATATAGGTTTTGTTTTTTTTTTGGTTTTGGTTTTTTTGTTTTTTTTTTTTTTGGTGTGTATCTTCAATTTATTCACAAACGGTTTGGAAGGAAAAAATATTCTATAAACTTCACTTGTAAGTTTTCTATACATTTGAGATTATTTTATTTGAGAATTCAAAAAGACATAAAATGAGTGAACAAAAACTTCAGTAGATAATTTCCATCTGTATGTTTGGATCACTAACATCACAATGATGTCACTGACTTATAATCAGTGACGTGAACTTGCTCTCTGCCAATCACAAAGGGCACACCAATAACCATGTTCACTTAGCTGCTTCCTTTTGTATTAATTCACTCATATGGTTAGGCTTCTAATCACTCCCAATTTCTCGACATAAAGTAATCCCATAAGGAATAATATACTAATTAAGAATTTTCATTAACGTTCAACATTAATTTACCCAAAATATCTTTGTGAATTGTTTTCCTTTCTTTAAATTGTTTTCAGTATTACAGTTTCCTTGTGTGATCCGGGGTACACAGACGAAGTGGTACACAATTCCTATTTAGAAAAGTTTACTGAACATTATTCCTGCATCACACTTACCAAAAGATAAACTTAATTTTCCCTGAAGGCACCCTTCATATCATATGATCTGTTGTGTTTTTTGTAGTAAAAATACAATTAAACATGAAATCAGTAAAATGCAGCATATAAAACTTCATGCTGAGCAAAAGTAAGTCCAAAAAAAGATTACCACATATCCATAGAACAGTTCCATGGCACATGTGTCCTATGTAAATCATATTTGAATGCAGTTTTTAGAACCATATTTAAATATATTTTGCAATTGTTAACTGTAGACATCCTGTTTCTCTTCTACCACATGATCTGATGCTTGGATTAGGTTGGCAACATCTGCAAGGATCCACAGAATGTAGCTAAAAAAAAGAACAGCAGTTCTTGAGTTATTTCTCAAGGTTTGAGAAATCTGGTCCACCTTTTGTGTAGTTTCCTGAGATTTCTGCTCCACTGAAGTCAAAACCAGGATTTTCTTTCTGAAATCTCTCTAACGTTAGTTTTCTCTGCATTTGGTCTTGTACCCAAGGGTCAGCTGCATATTCAGATTCTAGAAGAGAAGTCCAGCAATTTGCTGCATCTCTCTTTATCTTTGTAAGAACAATGTGGACCATTTTCCTATCTTCCAAAGTCCACGTTCCCTCATCATCTGTTGTAGAATCAAAGAGTTTGCCCTATATGACGCCAAAATGAAAGATCTGGAACTCACCAGTTGCAAGGTGCGCTTGCGCAGATGCTGCTCCTACACAAATTACCCATATAGTTTTTTTTAAATGTGATCATATATCATATCAGTCACTGTTCTGCAACTTTTGTTACCCAAAAATATATCATGGTCATTGCATATCAGTCCATATAAATCTGACTTACTCTTCTTACTGTACTAAGTAGTGTGCATGGTATGAATAATGCTATAATTTATTTAGCTATTGACTGTTGATGCACATTTAATATGTTTGCATCTTTTGTTCTTACAAATAATACTTTGTGTAAACATTCTTTTACACATATTCTTTGCAAGAGTATTTCTGTAAGATATATTCCTGAAAGTGGAAACTGGATAAAAGGGTATGACCATCTAAAATTTGATAGGGCCTGCCAAATTGTCCTCAAAGATTTGAACCAAATGATAATCCCACCAAATTATAATCCCACCAAAAGTGAATAGGAATGTCTTTTTTTCCACACCAGATACTAAAATCTTTAGTTGGTGCCAATTTTGATATATTAAAAATCAAATGTTATTTTGTTTCTTTTTAATGATTATATTTATTAACCTTTTTATTTCTTTTCTTGCTTGCCTGTTTGTACCATTTGCCCATTTTTCTATTTTCTTCTTAGTGATTTATGAGAGCTCTTTGATTGTTGGTGGTATTCATTCTTTGTTAGTTGTAATTGTGGCCAAATATTTCTACTAGTCTTTTTATCTTTCATTATTTTTATGGTATCTTTCAGCATGTACATGTTACAAATTTTTATGCAGTCAAGTCTTTCTCTTTTTTCTTACATAGTACTTGGGTTTCATGTCAAATTTATGAAGGCTTTCCCTATTTTTAAAATGACATAAATTATAACATGCTTTCTCTTATAGGCTTGTAGTGCCAGTATTACTTTTTAAACATTTAAATCTTTAATATACCTAGCATATGTTTTATGTTTGTAGTATGAGATAGGACTTAAATGTTAATTTTTTTTCCAACTGAAATCACCCATTGTCTGAAAAACATTTATTAATGAGTACATCCTCATTGTATTCTACTTTTTCCCTTTTCTAAATTACTTTTTAATTATATTATTGTACTGGGGGTACAGTGTGACATTTACAAAAGTTCTTACAATATTGAATACATACCTGAATGTATTTCTGGACTTCAATATCAAACTGAGTTTAATTACTGTGGCTTTATAGCACATTTCAAAATCTTGTAAGGCTTTTAAATTTTCTTTTTAATATCCATTGTAATTATCTGTCTTTTTCAATGTTCTTTAGCAAGAACTTCCAGTTTTCATCATGTAGATCTCAAACACTTAGTGTACTCCTGTGTATTTCATGATTTTGAAGCTAAAATGAATGAGATCTTCTTTCCCTTTAGATTGTCTAATTTTGTGTTGTGATATATGTAAAAACTATTGATTTGGGCATGTTGGTTTTCTGAGTGGCCACAATACCAACTCTCATTAATTGTAATATTTTTAGTTGGCTTTCTCAGTTTTCTAAATAGACCCATATCATTTCCAGTATTATACTTTGATCATTCCTATTATTTATACCTCTTTTCCTTTTTTGCATGTTACTGCATGAGATAAGATCTTCAGAGAAGTATTGAATAATAGCAACAGAAGTAAGCTCCTTCACCTTATTCCTGAATTTAATAGGAATGTCTCTAGCATTTTGTTGCTATTGATTTCTGAAGGAGGGCTTTTATCAAATTCAGAAAGTTTTTCTGTTTTTTTATGATTCAAAGCCAAATTTATTTTTTTGCTCCCACCATCTCCCTCCCCACCCCATTTATGGCAACTATAAGAGGTTTCATAGTTCTATTTCATATATGTATATGAAGCCCATCAACCATATTCCCTCACTTTCATCTCCTCCATTCATCCCACACACAAGTACCCCATGCACACATAAACACACTATACCTAATTTATAGTCGTGTCTTTCCTTATTAATTACAAAGTCAATATTCAAAGGGGTTTCTCGAAGTACCCTCCCTGTGAGTATACTTTACTTTGGTCAGTTCAACCCCTTCTGTTACTCTCCCTTACCCCTTCCCTCCCATCCCCCCATTATTCAACAGCTTTCAATACATATCAGTTTTATTCAGCCATAAGGATAAATGAAACCATGTGGTTTGCAGGTAAGTGGATAGAATTGGAAGACATCATGTTAAGTGAAGTAAGCCAGGTTCAGAAAGACAAAGGCCACGTGTTTTCTCTAATTTGTGGAAGATAGATCCAAAAGATAAACATGTATACAAAAACAAACATAATCATAATACAAATATATGTAGAAAATGTTTACAATAGTGGAATATGGAATAGTTTGTAATATGGAACTCGGGACAGGAGGGAAAGGAAAAGAGAATGATAGTCAACAATATCGAAATACATTACATCTTTGCAGTAGAGGAAGTTTTATTCAGTTTCTAGCTTAAGAGGTTTAGGATTTTTTTTTAATTAAGATTGAGTGTTGCCAGGTGCTGGTGACTCACGCCTATAATCTTAGCTACTCGGGAGGCAGAGATCAGGAGAATCGCATGCACTGGGCAAATAGTTCACGAGACCCTATCTTTAAAATACCCATCACAAAAAAAGGGCTGCTGGAGTGGTTCAAGGTGAATGCCCTGAGTTCAATCACCAGTATCGCCACAAAAAAAAAAAAGATTGTTAACTTTGATCAAATGACTTTCTTATATCTTGAGATTCCTTATTTTAGATTTACATTACATTCTTGAAATGAATCTTATAATGACTGTAATATATTATTATTACTTTAACATTCTGCTTTGAGCATTTTGCTAAATAGTTTAGCTAGGTTCTTTGCATCTATTAAAGAGACATAGATTTCAAGATTTCTTTTTTGTAAGTGCTAACTTAAGTTTTCATATAAGTTGTGCTTATGTTATAGAATGAATTATTTTTCTATGCTCTGAAATAGTTTAGATCACATAGGAATTATCTATTACCTGAAGGTTTAAGAAAATAAGCCTATAAAACCTTCTGTGTCTATTGCCTTTAGGTGGAAGATAGACCTTTTGTTACCTTTTCAGTTCTATGTATTCAAATTTTCTTGCTCTGAGTTAAATTTGGTTATTTATATTTTCCAAGGAAATTATCTATAATTTCAGATATATTTATCTAAAGCTTATGGAACTCATTCAGCAGACATTTAATGCTGCCTTCTATGGGCTGTCACTTTCAGTGACCTTCATAACTATGCTTATATTGTCCTTTTCTTCCCAATGATGTTTGTGGAGTTTTGTGGCAATGGAGTTGGAACTCATATTTGTGATTTTTTAATAATACTTGCCAGGATTTGTCTATTTGATTTATTTTTTCAATTAACTCACTCTTCATTTTATTTGTTGAGTCTGCTAGGAGAGGTTAAAAGGTTTTGTTTTACTAATCATAGCTCTTCTCTTTATCCTTTTAAATTTCTCAAATTCTATAAAGTTTGTACCATTAATGCTTATTCTTCATAGAGCAGGATAAAATCATGCATTTTCTAAGCTTATTATTTCTTGTATTATATTTTTTAGCATAAAGGGGAATGCATATCCCCTGATGCCTTTGAAGTATTTAATGACAAACTCACTTGATGACTTGACAAATTGCTTATGTGGCAAGAGAGTAATATAAGGAATGAGACCTAGAATACTGTTGCTTATGTTTATAGACAGTAAGTGGTTATCCTTTGGCAATGGTTTCTGGATATGAACAATTGGCTGGCAAAGTACATAGAAGGGTAGAATTGAACTACCATCTCTGTACAACTTTTTAAGGGGGTAAAATGGTATATTTACCTTTATTATTTCTCTAGAAAATTTAAAGAAAAATATTTTCTTCTGGCAGAGGGATGTTCAGGTGGATTCAAGCGTTTCTGTACTAAAATGTTAAATTCTAAACTCTAAATTGTTTTTAATCTTTTTAAAGTTGCGTGTTGTATCACAAGATGTGAAATTCAGCCTTTATGAATTGGATCAACTTTATGTCATCTTTAAGGTACTGTTGTTCTTCTTTAAATGAAAAATAATGCTCTTTTAGCAAAATTTTATCACAACTACTGTTTAATATTTTGATTTTTTAGCAGACATGTTTAAAAGAAAAAATCTTTTACAATCACTTTTTTCTGATTTAATGACTTTCCTTTCTATTTGTTTTAATAGAAAGAACTATTCCTATCTTGTTATTGGTGTTTGAGTTGTCCAGGATTGAAGTACCATGACCCCAGCCTGCCATATTTGGAACAGTATCAGATCGACTGCCAGCAGTTCAGAGTGTTGTATCACTTGCTGAGTCCCTGGGCTCATTCTGCAAACAGAGACTCACTAGCTTTGTGGACATTCAGATTGTTAGATGAAAACTCTGATTGCCTTATAAACTTCAAAGAATTCTCCTCTGTAATTGGTAGGCTGATGTCCAATAACTTTTCAAATCAAAAAATAAATGTACCCTTAGAAATATTTAGTACTGCCTATTATTGCCAGTTCAGTCAGATTATATCACCCTGGGTTACAATGTCTCCAGCTTTAGTAATCACTGAACATTTTTCTGTGTTTGTTGCTAAAACTAAGTATATTGATCTCATATTGCCCCAACCCTCTGAAAAGGTAAACTATTTAGATGTAGATGATTTAATGGTAAACATGAAGGAAGAGAATGTCCTGATTTTTCCACACTCCAGTACATGAATACAACAGATGGACTTTCCCCTGGAGTAAAAACCCAAACACATAGCCTAGAAAAGTAGTAGAGAAATATCCAACAAACATGTTGTAATTATGTTGTGCCTGTAAATATTGCTCTTTTGATTTTCTAGGCTCCCCAGAAATGCTTTCTTTTTACAGATTGCTCCTTGAAGAGCAAGTCTTTCTTCAAATGAGGCCAAAGGCCTCATTCACTCAAAAGAGAAAAAGAAATCTGAGGTTGGGGAAAGAGATAGAGAGTATCCTCTGAGAGAGTATTTTACTTATATACTTGAAAGAAAAAAATCTAGCCGACTGAGTGGTTGTTTGTTAGCTTAAGTAACAGAACATTTCTAAATCCCAATTCCTGGCTAGTACTGTATCTTAATCTGCTTTGCTGCAATTGAGTCAATGTTTTTTGGATACATGATTATTTCCAATTGAATTTTATTGAACAGATATAATGTACAATGGAAGTTTTACTGAAAAGCTTAAGCTGCTTTTTAAGCTGCATATTCCTCCAGGTAAGAATTTGACCACCTTTGATGATATATTGTAAGAGTTCATTCCATTTTAAAAAATGTAATTATAGATATCATTCCATTTCAACAGATAACATAATTTTAATATAAGACCATTATTTCATTGTGGCCCTGAAATCACATTACCACTACTTTTGTTGATATACATAGATACAGTGAAATCTATATAAGAGATTCTGTATAACAAATGGGTCCACAAGTTTCCATTCTAATATTGGTCAGTCAGTTTGCATATAAGAAGAGCATAGCATATCTTTTGGTTTTGGTTTTGGGACAAGTTCTCACTGTGTCACCCAGGCTGCCCTTGAATGTCAATCCTCCTGTCTCAGTCTCCCAAGTGCTTGGATTACAGGCCTGGGCCCAGCCCCTATCATTTGTATATTGGTATAATGTTGAATTTTTTGTTCTTGTTATTGTCATTACAATAGAGATTAACTTTAGACAAACTACTGAACTTGAAAAATACTATAAATCATTCAGAAAAAAATGGGATCGGGCAGCAGAGATATTAAATATTTGGAAGAAGAAGCAAAAAAGCAGCTACCATTTATTGAACACTTGCTATGTCTAGACATTTGCTTTATATGTGTCACAGTATCCCTGAAAGGTGATATTATCCTTCAAATTCTGGCGATAAGAAAACTGAGAGTTGGAAGGATTAGATTATTTGCCACAGATCACATAGCTGATAAATACATAGCTGGGATTCAAACTGAGGTCTGTCTGACTCCAAGTTCAATTTTCTTTCTATTCTAACATACTTCCTCAAAGTTCCCACCCATTCCAGTTTAGGTAAGTTCCTCGCACTGATCTTAAGAGGGTGTTTTTCTCAGGCATCCCTACTTAAAAGGCAAAAGATTTATATGATCCAAAGAGAAACCAGAGTATTACATCCTACTTAAAGAAAATAGTCTTGGGCTTTAAACTGAAGGAACATTGGAAGAAGTAGCTTAAGATAGGATAATCACAAAAATGGACATCACCTTATAATTTATCTAAAGCTACACCTAAGATCTCTTCTAAAGTCTTTTCAGGTTAGCCAGGAATCATTCTTTAACAGACCAACAAACTAAAAGCTATCTTTAACCCTTTATATAAATCACAAATAGTATTAAAAACAAAAAAACACCTAATCACCTAATTATAAAAGGAGTTTCTGTTGTCAAGTTAGGTTGCCATTGAAATGTTCAATACTTCCATCTGTTAGATGTGTCAGTAAAGGACTCGAAAGTGGGAAAAGCATTATGTACCAGTTAAGGCACAGGTGGGAAGTAAAGCAGAGAAATGGCAGCGATCACATGTTCAGAGATTTCCAAATGTCATATTTTCATATTTCAGCTGGTAATGTCTCTCAGGAAATCATTAAAAAGCAAGTAGAAGAAATAATAGAACTGAAATACATCTTGTTATTTACTATACATTAGAGCAATGTCACTTCCACATGTTTTTCCTTTTTTGTTTTCAGTGGTACTGGAGGTTGAACTCAGGGCCTTGCACTTTCTAGGCAGGTGCTCTACCACTTGAACCATGCCTCCAGCCCTTTTTGCTTTAGTTATTTTGGGGATAAGGTCTCACATTTTTCCTCAGGCTGGCCTGGACCACAGTGTTCCTATTTATTCTTCCCACATAGCTGGGATGACAGGAATAAGCCATCACACCCAGCTTTTTTTATTGGCTGAGATGGGGTTTTGAGAACTTTTTGCCCAGGCTGGGCTTGAACAGCGATCCTCCCAATCTGTAACTCCTCAGTATCTAGGATTACTGAAATGCCACACGTAACACTTACATTTTTCTTATATATAACCTTTTGTTTACTTCTGCTTCCATACATACCTAACAATTTGGGTTGTCTGCTTTCAGCTTATACCGAAGTGATAGCTAAAGATTCTTCAAAAGGAGATGAACTTTCCACAGAAGAATTACTTTATTTCAGTCAGCTTCATGGTAAATATTTGTCTAAAAGTTTAACTACTGCTGCTGCTGTTGTTTTGAGATGGGATCTCAATGTGTTGTTTAGGCTGGCCTCAAATGCCTACACTTTAGTGATCCTCCTGCTTCAGTTGCCCAAGTAGCTGGACTGCAGGCATATGCCATCAAGCCCAGCTAGGTTAACTGTCCTGATGATTAGATACTTGTAAAGATCTTCCTGGTTTAGATATTCTTTACCCAGCTACGATGAGTAAAATGTGGGTTTGTTATACCTTTTATTCTTTTGTACTACCATAGCACTTAGCATACTCTGTAAATAGTTGACTGGTTAACCAAAATGCATTTAGTGGCATTGATTTCTGAAAATTCTTGTTCATTGGAGAATTAAAAAGGACATGTATTTAGTTTGTAATTATATGAAAGAAATTTCTAAGCTGTACCAGACTGTTTTCATGCCTTGGTAAAGTACAATGAAGATGATAGAATCTTTGATGATGAACAGTCATAGCTATTATTCAGAAAGTGAATACTCACTATAAATCACTGAAAGTATAAAATACAGAGATAAGTCTGTCCCCCAGACAAACTTTGGAAGTAATATGAGCTTATTTGTGTGTCATCTGCTTCATTTTCATAAATACATACTGTGTTACAGAGGGATGAGTTCTGATTGATATACGCATGTTAGAGTGAGCATTAAAGAGACCTTACAAATCATGTAGTTGGTTAAGTCCATCCATTTTATACAGAAGGGCACTGAGGCCCAAGGAGAAGTGATTTGTACAAGGTTCATAATGAGTTATTGCCACACTCAGGACTTGTAGCTCATTCTTCTGACTTGCAGTATGTGTGTGTTTTATTTTTACTGATAATAAAAGAAATACAACTTAGTTTGAAACAAATCACAAAGAAGAAAATACCACCCATAAATAAATGTTTGATATACTTTCTTCTAGGATTTTTTTAATATGTTTCCTCATTGTCTTTCCACTATGGAGGTTGTTTACTACTTTGTCTTCTAATAACAGGTCAGGGCTTGCTGAATCAAAGAAAATAATATGTGCTTTTAAGTCTTTGTATGCATTTTTTACTTTTAGAACACACTTGTTAAATAATGTACAATGTGTACTTGCCTTCCTTTCCCTTAGTTTCCAAGTCTGCAAATGAGAAGGAAGCAGAATCAGGGAAAAATAGTCCTAAAAAAGGTATGATCTAGGAATGTCATTTTGTTTATTAAATTATTTTTTTTAGACACACTCTGGCTATGTAACCATAGCTGGCTTCAAACTCAAAATACTCCTGCCTTTGCCTCATGAGTGCTGGGATTACAGGCATGCACCATCACGCCTGATTTGAATTATTGCTTTTGTAAAAAGGCATAACTGTAAAGATGGGAGAGTAGATTCCTCTTTTTGTTGTTTATTATTGCTGTGCTTGGGCTACAGATTTGTCCTGAGAACTCATTCAGTTCCTTTGTGTAAGTTTAAAATTTTATTTTCTCACGATGCTTTACTCTCAAAGTTATAAAAATTAAAATGTACTAATTGGTAAGTAGCCCATATTTCTTTTGATCACGTGTATTTTGATTATCTATTACAAAAATAATAATCTTCATAACAGAAATTCAGACAATACATAGTCCTTGTACCCCAACTCATCCCCACCCAAAAGTAAAAGTTGAAAATATTTTTGACTATTATCCTTTCCAGACTTGTTTCTGTAGATGCATAAACTTATGTAGACATTTTAAAAAAGTAAATATTCCATGAATAATATTCTACAGTTTGCTTTTTTTATTTTGAGATACATTGTGGACAACTTTTCATGTCAGTATATTTTTGGATCTACCTTATGCTTTTTTTGTTCTTGGAAGTTTTAGCAAGGATTTATTTTAGTACAACAGGATAAAATATGGGAGTGGAGAAATATTTCCTGTTCCCCATGCAGGAAATGGGAGGAAAGACTCCACTTATGCTTTTTAATGGGTGCAGAATATGTAGAATATTTCATGGTTTGGTTTTACCATAATTTATTTCAGTAAGTAGCCCAGTACTAATGTGCATTTAGGTTGTTCCCAATTATTCTTATTGAAAGCTGTGCTGCAATTAAAAAAAATTGGCTGGGGGCAGGGGGGAGAAATAAACCAAGCCTTGTATGCACATATGAATAATAAAAGAAAAATGAAAAAAAAAAATTGGCAATACTTGAGGTTGAACTCAGGGCCTCATGCTTGCTAGGCAGGTGCTTTATCACTGAACCACTCTGTCATCCCTCTTTGCTTGGTTATTTTTGAGATAGGGTCTTGCTTTATGCCCTGACAAGCCTGGACTATGATCCTCCCGTTTCTGCTTTCCCACATAGCTAGGATGATAGGCACATACCACCACTCCCAGCCATGGGTTCAGATGGGGTCTTGCAAACTTTTTGCCCAGGCTGGCCTCAAACTGCAATCTTCCCAATCTCTGTCTCCCAAGTAGCTAGGATTACAGGTGTGAGCCATCACTGCACTCAGCAAAACAGACGATTTTTTATACTTAAATTTTAGGATAATTTTACAAATATTTCTTTAGGGTAGAATAAATTCAAAGACGTATAGGAATGCTAAATTAAATAGTATACACATTTAAGATTTTGATAGAACCCATGAAATTGCTCCCAAAAGCCCATCATTCTTTTGTGTTTTTGAAAAATACTTAGCTAAAAAATAATTAATTGCTAAAGATCTATTTAAATATAATAACCTTCCCAGTATTTTTACCCAGTTTTCAAGGAATCTTAAATAATTACTTAAAAGTCACAATATAATGTTGACTAAACTCTTGAATTAGTGTATATTAATTGTTTTTTAATCTAAATATATCCTTCTCCCTCCTCCCCATGTTTTCCTGTTCCCCCACTTTCCCAAAGTAAACATTTTAGTCTAAATGGCAATGGAGGAGGTATTCTGAGAGCAAATGAATGAGATCAAAAGTGAATTCACATCTTTTCCTGGATTAAAAGAGATAGAATCTTATATCTCAGCAAAATATCTTTCAATCATAATTGTTCTTTTAGAGGTTTGGATAAATATAGTAGGCTATTCATTACAAAATGGTTTTACTCCCCTTTCTTTTCCTTTTCAGGCAAAAGAAAAATTGATATTCAAGCATATCTAAATCAGTGGCAAGATGAGCTTCTCAAAAAAGAAGAAAACATAAAACATTTACCAAGAATGAATCAGGTACAGTATTTTCAAATAGAAAATTCTAGGTTCTTGCTTTTTTGTGTGAATATGGACATAACCAACTTTAAAATAACTAGCATACTATTATAAAAATAGTTAATCTGTGTAATTATCTTTGTATGTTTCAGATAACCACAAGCAAAAGAACAATATTTCAAATTTTTTTTACTTCAAACACTTAAATGTATCTAGTATTTTATATAGTCCCTCTGCTATGAATTTGTACTTATAGAAAAATGAATAGATAACATTTACAGCATTAGTTGAAATTATCATTTACCCAGTAAACTGGTTATTTAGTGCCTACTAAATGCCAAGCCCATTGCTAGTTACTGGGAATAAAAAATTAGTAAAATAGGTCACATCTTGGTGCCTAATGATCTTGTATTTGAACCTGCACAGGCATTACTATTAGTAGTCTTTAAACCACTGTTGACACAAATTTTAAATTCATCTCTTTCTCATACACTATCCAGTCAGAATATGTTCTCATATTTTTAAAGTAAAATCCAGTTGATACAGATAATAAGGATCTCCGAAGCATAACCAAAAATGAGAACTATGAAATAGCTTAGTATTTCTCAATGGACTAGGTAATTTGACAGTTGAATAAATACTTTTTAAGTGAATCAATATGGGATATTATTCTAAAATTATAACTGAACAGTACTATAGACTAATGAAGAACAAAATAAGCATTTGTTGCAATATATTTTATGAAGTATATCTGTTGTATTTGCTTTTTGTTTACAGATAAACTTTTCTGGTTGTATGATTGACTTACAGGACTCTTTTGTTGGAATTGCTTTTTTTTTTTTTTCACCTTAAGGTCCCTTTTATTTCTGGCCATTTCTTTACAACCATGAATACAGGGACAACTCCAAAATGTACTTCCCAAGCCAAAGTGCCCCTCTAGAAATTCATATTCATATTTCTAACTCCATTAGATGCATCTCTCTAAAGATTCTAATCCCCTAGTCACCTTTTCTTTTCCTGCCTATCCTGAGGGAATTGCTTTTCTTATATTGATAAATTTTTCTAGTAATGTCTATGGATGATCTAGTGGCAATTAGTAGACTAACTAGTTTCTTCCCACTTTTGCCCACCTCTGCCTTTAACAAGAAGCATGTCCAGATGGGTTCCTTAGAGCAACCTTGTACAATTAAATAGGTTCCAGAAGTCATCCTTACCTAAATTGAAGTCATTTTAGCTAAGCTGCCTACTCTAGGTCTTTGAGGAGATCAAGTAGAACTTGTCCTTAATCCTTTTGTTAAAAACTGGTTAATTAATTAATTATTTACATGTAAAGAAATATGAAACTTTCCCTAATTAAAAGTGCCACATAGCATTGGAGTAATACTGGCAGGCAAATTGCCCAGGAATTGGTCTGGATATATGCAGGAGGACTTAAAGGAGATGTTCTTCCATGGTTCATATGCATCTTCCTAGGACCAAGATTCATTATTCAGTTCTAGGGTGAGGATTATATGCTATAAATTCCAAATTCTCTTTATATTTGCTAAGTCAAATATTAAAATGTCAATTCCAATTTGTGTCTTCTAGTCACAATTTATTCAGTTTTCAAAGACCCTCTATAATTTATTTCATGAGGATCCCGAAGAAGAGTCATTGTATCAAGCCATTGCTGTTGTAACCAGCCTTTTGCTAAGGATGGAAGAAGTTGGAAGGAAACTACATAGTCCTACATCATCAGCCAAAAGTTTCTCTGCTACAGACTGTGCTTCTAGAGGACCCAGTCAGGGGAAAACAGAGAGTCCTGTGGAGAAAGACCCTTCCTCTCAGAGGGAGGAACCTCAGTGGTCGTTTGCATTTGAACAGATTCTTGCATCTCTGTTGAATGAACCAGCCTTAGTGAGGTTTTTTGAGAGACCCACAGATTTAAAAGCTAAGCTAGAAAATGCAAAATCCTCTCAGTTAAGGCTTAGAACCAAGATATAAATTTTTCACCTCGCATAGACAAGTTTACCAAGATTCCTGGAGAGAGAGAGAGAAATACTCAGAAGCACAATGATTCATTCCTTTGTGGTGATCTCAAACTGTGATATTCTCAAAAACACTTTTTTATGTCACAAAATATGTAGTATCAGGGGAGTATGCTCAATACAACCACCAGAGGGCACCACCATATCATCTTTAGTAAGGAAATTACTAGATTGTGCTGCTATTTACATGTAATTACTTATGATTTTGAAAAGTTGGTGTTATGTTTACTAGTAATGTTGACATATCATGTCAGTAAACCTCCATATTGCCTCAGTTCTATAAAAATGCTTTACAAAACTGGACTCTTAGATCCATATCCTTAATTACCTAGGAGACTGCCATTCGGGGCCCTCATTTTCAAGTTACCTAGCTGAAATACTATTAACTTTTTAAAGTTAAATTCATGGAGTCTAGTAAATTGATTTTTCAGTAACTTCTGCATTCTCTCTACTTGAGGGGTTCAGAAGCTGCTGGCTCACACTGCTAACTCTGGTACTGATAAAAACAAATGAAGGACTCAAAACTCTGGGCAGCTATAAAGAAAAAAGTCATTGGATTTAGATTTAATCTGGATAAAGTCAGCCTTTTGTAAAGGGTTAAGAAACAATTTATTTAGCCATATAAGTCTTATTAGACTGAAGAATTACTAGAAATTCTTCAGAGCACTGCTGTTTGTGGCATTAGTCTCAGAGTAGCTTGTGATTGCTTTAGATTTTGAATTTTCACCAGTAAGGCTTTAATTTACATTAGATTGGAAAGAATAGTTACACTAAGTTTGAATTGTTGTAATAGCCTGATAAGCACATAAACCGCACTTACATGTGATATTTGCTGCCACGGTAATGTATAGAATTTCATGCTGCTTATAGTCCAGTCATTACATGAAGTCCATTTAGAGATATAATGGACTTTGTTAGCACTTTAAAAACAAAATAAGTAAACCACACCTGTCCAGTCTTCTGCCCTATTTCTGACAAGAACAATTTATTAAGAAGTTGACTTAGGAAATAGGGAGGAAATGATCCATTGGAGCCTCTTTTTTTTTTTTTTTGAGCCTCTTTCTTTACGGAAGACTTTGGTTTTAAGTCCTTTGACTTTTCTAGATGTGAAACAATGAATGGTCAGAAGTCCTTCATAGTGACCCTTTCTGAGAAGGAATTGTCTCAGTTAGCCTTTAGCAAGAATCTACTGTGAGCAAAACCTAACACAGGGGGCTTTATCACCATAGAATATGTTTTCAAAGAAGTTTGAGAATTTTCAAGTTGAGAATTGCAAACTCCTGAATTGGTTTTGACCAAACACTTACTAGTTAACATCTTTAAGATGATTTGATCACTTTGTCTTTTCAAGGAAATTACTACTTACAGAGATAGTTGATAAATAAGCATCTATGCCTTTATTCAAATTATTTGGAAATATGTCCAAATTTTAAAGTTTAGTTAATAGTTTATATGAACTATCACACATCTGCTATTGTGCAATGATTAATTATAATACAATAGATCTAGAAAGACATATGGTCTGTGCTTATATACAAAGGCACTATTACACACACTTTGTTAAATATTTTGTCTGTTATATTTACAAATAGTACTTTCTTAAGAGTATATGTTATTAATATTTGATATTCTAAAGTCAGAATAGTGAAAAATACTAAGAATTGTATTTTAGCCTACATTAATTAAAAGTGAATACTTAAAGAGATTTTTGAGTTGCACAAATAAATACAAGTTAAAAAGAAAAAAATATTTTCTGAGTCCACAGGAGAAATAAACTGAACACATTATAGTTTTGTTGTTGCTGCCTTGATAAGTAAATGAGTTGTTCTTAATATTAAAAATCCTATGTTTTGTCAAACTGAACCAGTTCATTATACCTTATGCATAAATGTTATAAGGTGATTTAATTGTCTTTATAAATAAATATTATAAATCTGTTATATTAAACATTAAAAATTGTTTATTTAAAAAGATCAGTATTGTTTATTTTGATATATTTTTTACTCTTAAATGCCACTTGAGGATTTCCCTTCTATATCAGTTTAAAGTTCAGTTGCAAAGAACAGAATTCACTCTTAATTAGTTTAGGCAGGAAAATATTTATTACTGGATATTAAGTGGCTTACGTAAGTATCACATGGACTAAATTGAGTCTTGGGTGGTATTTTTTTTTGGTTTGGGGAGAGTTTTGGTAGCACTGGGATTTGAACTCAGGGCCTTACACTTGCTAAGCAGGTGCTCTACCACTTGAGGCACTCCACCAACCCTAAACTGAGTTTTCAAGAGCAAGTTCCAAAGCCATGCCACTCCCAGCCCACCAGGGAATTGCTAACTGTTCTGTGATTAGGAAACTGCTCCTTCCTACTGCCAGATGAAAAGTCATCACTGTTGCTGCTACATACAGAACCAGGCTCTACCTGCTATGATTTACACCAGCAAAATAAATGCTATGCCCCTCTGCCTCTCAACACCCACGAATTTTGACTAAATTGCAACAGGGCAGCCAAACATCTTTATAACCATGTTTACCAGCAGAGATGGAAGAAGCATACCTCACTTCTGATAGTCAAATCTCATATGCATGCATCTAATTTACCTATAATAAACCTAGAATCATAGTTGTAAAGGATTCTGGGAAATGTACTTTTAGCCTTGGCAGTACAGGAAAGCACGCTAAGAGGGTGGAATGGACATTGAGCTTTTTATTGCTGCATGAAGAATTAGCACAACACCCATTTATCACCATTTCAGTGAGTCATGACTGTGAGATCAGCTTAGCGAGACCCTCTGACTAGGATTTCATACGGTTGCAACCAAGTTGTCAGCCAGGCTGGTTCTCAAATAAGGGCTCAACTGGGGAAGATTCCATTTCCAAGCTCACTCAAGCTGTTGGCACAATTCATTCCCTTATGGTTATAAATCTGGAGGCACAGATTCTTGCTGGTAGTTAACTGGAGGCCACTCTCCTCTTCTGAAGGCTTCACTCAGCTTCTGTAGGCTTCCCATAGTTCACTCCATGTCGGATTCTCCAAAATGGCTACTTCATCAAACCAGCAAGGAGTCTCTAGAGCAAGTCTTACATAACTCTAGAGCAAGAGTGTCATATAATCGCAGTAGTGGCACCACTCCCTTTGCCATGTGCTGTTGATTAAAAGCAAGTAATAGGTCCTGCCCACATTCAAGGGGGGAGGATTACTGAAAGGCACAAACATCAGGAGGCAGGTATCGTGAGAGGGTGCGCCATAGAGTCTTAGAGTCTGCCTACCCCAAGCACTAATCTATGCTATTAACTATGTTGTCTTTCACCATGCAACACACCCTTCTCCTACTTCTAAATAACAGCTAATCATAACAGCAGTTTGCTCCTGCCTGTCATACCATAAATTTCCCTCATGAACAAAAGTACACTAATCTCTCCTAAGGGAAGGTTCAAGTTTCTGTCAGTTACTTGAATCCATCCATGGCTGAGGTTCTGTCCGCCTAATTCAGTCTCAATCCCATCTTGATAACCTATAACGTGGACTAAATGACTAAATTATAAAATTAATTAACATCAGCTCACCTTTTATTTTTAAAAAAAAAGGAATTTACTTAAGCATGACAAGGGACAAACTCTGGATGACTACTACAGTCCTCATTTCTGCAACTGGTTAGGAGACTATATTGTGGAGGTTTCTTCTAATCATAATTTGGATTGACTTTTGACATACACTTCTGTGAATTTACACCTGTAACCATGACAATTAGAGTGCTGAATAGTTCCACCACCCTAACAAAACTCCCTCATGCCATCCCTTTATATACTCTCTCCCCACCCCTAGCCAACCACTGATCACTTCTTTATCCAGCTTGGAAAAGACCAAATTTTGCTTACTCAGCATCTCTGCCCCTTATAGTCATGTGACCAAAGGAATGGTCAACCAGATCCTTCCACCTAGAATTTCTCAATGGCAAGCAGGAGGTAAAGTCAAGAATACACTACATTCTGGTGACAGCAGTGGCATCTTCGCATCAATACTGTAGGTCTGAAGTAGGTTTCAGAATGCTTTTGACTGCCCTGACTATAACCCTTCCCCTTTTCAGGAGGAACTTGTTAATAGTTCAGTAGGTTTTTTGTTTGGTTGGTTGGTTGGTTTTTGGTGTTATTGTGGGGAACTGGGGGAGGCGCTTTTATAAGCTGGAATATTTCTTCAGCTTGAAGTGGACCAGATACCTGTGGCACTAGGGGCTCTGTAGCACCAGATCCCTAATAGCAAGGCAAATTATTCCAGTAATATAATCACCAGAGGAAGTGCGTTTTCTCCTTCAGCTCACATTGTGCTCAAGTTTCCACTTCTGCGCTAGAGCGTCTTTCCCCTTTCCCATCAAGCAATAGATTTCCTAGCTCCTAATTCCACTTGTCTTCCTTTGCAGGTGAAGTCTTTTCCTTATGGCTGCCCTTCAGCTCTTGATCTTTCCAGTGCTCTGCAGTTCCCTATGACTTATCTAGCTTTTTAACAAGTCCTATTTGGGACTAGTGATTAAATTTTGATAAACGACCATCATTCCTGAATACTAATCTATCTTTTGCGTAGGCTGTACATATTCTTCATATCTTTGGTGCACACTCATGTCTGTCATTTCTCAAAGAGTATTGTATTGACAGTTCAATAAATTCACCTTGGCCTTTTCTGCCATAGATGGCCCTCACTACACTGGTTAGGGAGCAGATGTGGTTTAGCTGTCAGTTGCTGGTTGTGGCTATTTCAAGTATGCATTCATAAACTAAAAAATGAGCCACTAATGTATTTGCAGAGCCAATGAACTCATTGAGATGAATTCAAGGTAAAACTATATCTTGACTCCATAAGCCCTGACTCTCTGGCCAATGGATGATTGGATGACCATTGTGTTCTAACCCTCCCAATACCCCATTTCAGATCCAATAATCTCTGAAAAGTCTGAGTACATCCATTTGTTTAGAGCATAGTTTCCCTGGTAAATGACCATAAGCCCCT